CTAAGATCACAAATTTAATCAATAAGTCAGCATTCACCAATGACTTTGGTGTACGACAACATTAACCGGTGACTGTCAGCATTCACCAACTGCGGTCATTCACAGTAACAATGGCACTAGTTATACAACTACAAAGATTAGAAGTACAGGTAGGTTAGGTTTACATCATTAATATTACATTACATTTTATTAAAATTTATAAGCTAAATTTTGTTCAATGAACATTGTTTGTAGTGCATATAGTCTGTCTTGTACTTGTTGCATTTTACGGTACACGTGTCGTATGCTATCTACCAGYATAATATGCTATCTACAAAAAATTAATACTTGTGTCGTATGCTATTTACGTGAAAAAATGTATTCTCACCTTACCTAAATATTTTATTAGAGCTTACAGTTTTACAKTTATCATTGAAATTATAATAGATTTATAAAAATGTATCTTTTATGTCTTTCAAAAAGCTTTCAAACGTATTGATTGGATTGACTGAACGCCACCATTCTTCCTGTAATTGCCTATCGAGTATCGAGTAGGTTTGTTACAGTAGAATCATATTTTATAAGATGGAAGTGGACAATAATTTTTTGCCATGCCATGCCATGTGCTTTCCAAAAGGGAACTTTATACATTTTTACTCACACCAATATTTGCCAGTTTATGAAATTTACTATAATTTATTAAGGGGAAAGAGAGAAGTTAAAAAAAGTTTATTAGTTACATAGGGGATTTTGGACACGAGATCCTGTCACTAAGTTTAACGCAAGTATAACAATTTTTTAGCATGCTTCTGTATACATAATACGCATTATTATATATAAATAAAGTTATTGTAAGGTTTTTATAATTTTATATTGTAATTATCATACCGGCTAGGTATATTTCATCCCACRCAGTTTTATTTATAATTYCACCAATACTTGATTGTAGTTTAATAAACACATTAGGTGAAATACACGGGACATCTATAGACGCTGAAAATTCATTCAGTTGTGTATGACCAATTCCAATTGCAATAGAACCACTAACTGCTGCTTTATTTACTCCTACATATTCAGTTTCAGAAGTGTTCTCAGAGTCAAATTTTATTTTTATTTGACACACTAAACATTTAAACAACCAAGAACAAAAAAATCTTTTTCTGTGTTCAAAAATTAATTCCATATCTAAGAATGTACAGTCTAGCCCTCCCTTGTGTCTACAATTCAAAATTTGTTTGAATACAAAATTCATATTCACAATTCGACGACCACCCAAGCTTTTATTTTTCAATACCTAATATTTTTATCATATAATCAATATCTTTAACATATGAATTACAAATTAGATACTGTTTGTGGAAGATTAAAAGGAAAGGTATATAATATATATAATACATAACTAATCATAAAATAAGTAGGAATATGAAGTAATACTGTATTAATAAAAGTAAAATACAKWMTGTATTTTACTTTTATTAGGTTTCTTGCAATGGGTGGAAATATGAAGGCACATTCAATGTACTTCGTAAGAGGAGAGTCAACACAACCAGAAGTATCAAAGCTGAAACGGCTCAAGTTATTTGGTACAGTCTTCAAGATATATACATGCCAATACCTACAAAGAATAAGTAGGAAAATGTTACAGACCGATTCTATGAGCTATGGAATATTTTAAACTGTATTGGTTCTATTGATGGCAAACACTTCAAAATTAAATGTCCATCAAATACAGGTTCAGCTTAGTATAATTATAAGCATTATTTTAGTCTAGTGTTGATGGCCTGTGTGGTTGCGGACGGAATTTTCTTAACAATTGATGTGGGTGATTATGGCCAAAACAGTGACGGTAGAGTGTTTCGAAGTACTTCACTAGGAATATGTAGCTTTGGAGAATAGTACATTGGATATACCTGAACCTAGACCATTACCCGGATGGGAAAATAAGGGCAATTTTTCGCACTACTTTGTTGCAGATGAAGCTTTTCCCTTGTAAATAAACTTTATGAGGCCATTTCCTAAAAGGTCATTTAATAAGAAGAGACGCATTTATAATTATAGGAACAAAAGTATTACATCCTATATTTTGTGAATATGAAATAATTGATGAAATATTTAAAGTTGTCACTGATAATGGTTTCAACCTTATAAAATCTTTTAGGTAAGGGATTTGTAAATTTAATACAATAAATTATTATTAATAATATATAAATTGAAAATGCTATAGCAAAATTAAAAATAATAATTATAATATCAACTTAATTAACTTATAAAACTTTATGTTTATRCTAAACATATATCAAACTTTTTTTATTTAAAGAATGTAAAAAAAAAAATCTATGTTTACCTTGTTATTAATTSTATTTTTTTTTTTATAAATAATTGTTCATATAACAACATCAGAAACAAGAAATACTAGATCAAGAGTTGAAACCTCTGACGATGATGAAGATGGTGAAGATGACAATGACGATGAAATATATATGATAGAAATAGATGAAATTTTAGCTACCTACAGGTCTTGAACAAAATCCTGAATATTCACTTACACCTCATCATCGCTGTGCAAGTCACACTTTGAACTTAATTGCAACAAGAGACAGTGAAAAAGCATTATCTGATGTTATTTATAAAAAGCAAATGGGATCATCGTTTGCAAAAATGCAAGGCTTGGGGAATAAGCAAAGGACATCTGTAGTTGCAGATACTATTAATGACACATTAAATGTGTATATAAATGTACCAAATACAACTAGATGGAATTCAACATACAATTGCCATCAAATATTTGAGTAATCCGTTACAAAAATCTGAAGCTAAGGTTCAAYGTATATGTGATGAATCTGATATAGGTACCAAGATTTGATAAAAATGACCTTGCTTTCATGATTGATTATTGTAAAGTAAATATTGAAGTCTTAAATAAAAAAAATGTCTTTTAACATTTTATATTAATTATTATTTATTGTTTATATTTAGATTATGAAGCCTTTATCGAGGGCATTGGATATTCTCCAAGGAGATAAATATATACGGCTAGTGCTACGGGCTATCTAATACTAACTATAAGTTGGCTGAAAAGGAAACTTACAGAATTATCACTAGCAGGTAAATGCAAAAGCTTGTTTAAATGGTATCAATTTACGATTCACAAGTATGACTAAAGAAGTACCAATTATACTATCATCGGTCTCCCATCCAAAATTTAAATTTAAAGGTTTGTTACCTTTTGATAGAGAAGAAGGTATGGAATTATTTAAGGCTGAAGTAGAGCAGCTAAAGTCAACTACAKGYGATTTATTAAAATTTGATATTTAAGATAAATCTCATTAAACAATTAACATTAATAAAAGGTATTGTCAATATGCAACCTGCAGCCGAAGATGATTTTCTTTTCGATGGTGATAATGTAGAACAGCCCCACACAGAAATTTATCGATATTTGACAACACCATTCTCTGGAGACTTGCTAATTTTAAATACCAGGTCAATCATAAAAAAYATCATCTTAAAATATAATACCGCATTGCCATCAACAGCTTCGGTAGAGCGCCTATTTAGTGTTGCTGGTGATATATGTACAAAAAAACGTTGTAAAATATTAAATAAGTGACCAAAACTTCGACAACTATTTGTTGTCAAAATTAATTTTAAAATTAAAAATAAATGAAATTGTATTATAAAGTTTAAAATGTTTAAAATAAAAACAATTCAATTGATCTAGGTAGGTACCTACTTTACTATACCCATATAATAAATAATAAGTGAGATGAATGATGATTGTAAATTTACATATTAATATATTATTTTAAATGTTGTACATAAATACATAATAAGTCTATTATCACAAGGTAGTAGCATTATTATTGTTCTAGGGTAGTAGGTCTATGATTGTAAYAAAAATATATATTATATATATCATATGAATTGAATATAGTTTAAAAAAATGATAACTGTTATCAGAGATTAAAAAAAAGTAACATTATTTGTAACGCACTACTTTATWTATGAAAAAGTTATGTAACGTAATAAAAATAATTTTAACGTTACGTAAGTGACGAGTAACGTAATTCTATTACTTTTCAAAAGTAATTTACCCAACACTGAGTTTGAATTGTTTTCAATTGTTCTATGCCCTATGCCCCTATATAGTCTGAGTCTRGTACTGATCATACGATGAAAATAATTCATACACCCATCGTTTTCCGATGTTCGCTTGCCGATACATGTCACACGCAGACGACATTACAATACGTGTCATTTGGTCGTGTTGTTGTAAAGTCAAGACTCAAATCCAATGTGTAGCGACAAAATATGACAAATAATAATACTCTGTATCAGAAATATTTTAAATCTTACTACTTTTACTGGCTAAAGACCTTTAAGAAGGCTATAAACAAATTACATGAAACTACGAAAGGATTGTTAACCAGCTATTCCTTTGGGACGGCCTAGATTGTAACACCAAATAATCATATTATTATTTAGTCACACTTGGTCATTTTATCATATTATGTGAGTAAATTATAATATTACGGACAATTTTCACGGGCTGCTCTGCGGTTAAGTAATAATAATAATGTAAGTCCGCCAAGAGAGCACCCACCTCGACGACGAAAAAAAATGTTAAAATGAGAAACGGCGGAGAGAAATAAAATATCGGGAGAAATAACTTTTGCCGAGACGATATAACCGGCACACGCCGGTCCGTTTGCGCCGTCACCGTATCACACGTTCCGTCTYCGGTTCGCCGTTAGGCGTTGACGCCGACGCGCTACCAACGGACGCRTCGGTCGCGTCGTCGCTATGTGGCTATGTCGTCTTCACCGGCCGACCGAACATGTGCGTTCGATGTGCGCGCGCAGAACGTCGGCACATAGCCACACACACGCGCGCATACGCACGGCAATAGCGCGCGCGCGAGCAACACACAGACGCACGCACACGCGCATACGCGTTCACGCGCACTCGCACACACACGTTCACGTGCAAGGTACTGCGCGTGCGTGGCCCGGTTCACCACCTCTCCGGAACCGCGCCGCCGCAATCGGCCAGGTATTTCATTGTCACTCGTCTTGGCGCTCTCGAACGTCGTCCGGCACCGTCGCCAGCCCGAGAATATTATAACACCGACGACGACGACGACGTCCGTTTTGTTGATATATTATCGTGATATTTTTTTTTTTTTAACATCCAAACGATAATTTCATTTCGTTCACGTAGGAGTCGACTGCCAAACCAATACGTTCTGCGACGAAGACGAAGGCATTCAAAAACAAAAAACCGTTAAGTCGACCCACGTTTTTCAAACAACGCGCGAAACATAATATATWCCTGCTTGACCGGCTCGTGTTGCACCGAACGATGACGACGGAAACCGCCAAATCGGTGTTCGCCGTCGAGGGACACCCGTGTTTCAAGTACAAGCTCAATGATCCAAAGGCGTTTTGGAACGGTGCCGGCGCCGGCATCGCCATCGCCGGTAACCACCAGTTACTGCAGGCTACGGCGTCCACCGAACGGTTTTGGGAAGAGGAACCGGAGGAGAGGATCAAACGGAATGTGCAAGACGCGAAGATCAAATTCCACAAGGACAGGCAGCTGCAGGTCAAGCACTTGCCCAGAAACGTTAGCGAAGAGGTGAGTAGTGTGTTAGGACTGCATAGTAACGTAGTGATTGGATAGTAGTACTAGTAGTAGTTATAGTTAACAAATAGGTAGATAGGTACCTTGTATAAAAAAAAAGAAATAAAAAGATAAATTCCTATCGACCATTAAGTAATAAGTTTAAGTACAAATAGTTATGTAACTAGCTAGTAATCGAATTTAAGTAWAAGTGACTATCTATTAACAATTAAAGTATCTTGTCATTTGTTGAATTTTCGCGTTTGATAACATTTATTATGTACGTGCATTAATGTTGATTACGGCCGACCGATATTTTAAACAGCGGAAATAGAACCGGGAAATGCCCTGGGGTCATGTTTTTGTGTGCCCGCTTGGTGGTTCTTATACGCTGGCCTTTAGATTCGGCCTCGTCTGTCCCGAAACCGCGTCATCGTCTCTACAAAGATGATTTCTGACCTTAATCCAAATGTTTTTTTTTCTCATAAATAAACGCATACATTGTTTATCGTGCGACTGTTTGATGCACGATGGCCACGCGTCCCGAACCGAGATAATCGATCTAAATTTAAGTACGGCTTCCGACATAAATTGCAATCATGGGTTGACAATTTGACATTATTATCGACAGCTCTCGCGACGATACGGATTTCCCCAAGTTAAAACTGGTTACACATATTGTGTCATGCCGCTATAGAATTCTCATTGAATACAGTCGCAAATTATTATTATTGTCGTTAAAATATAAAATAGAGAATCGTGTAACTATATTTTAATCGACGGGTACCTTTGCTCACATTTTGCATACATCTCACGATCGATTWATAATTAAAATCTTTACACTGTTACTTGTGCTGTTCGACGAGAAATATTCATTCCCATAACCTCTTCTGACAATTGTATTTTATAGTTTTGCTTCATCCCGACTACTGTCGTTCTTACGTAAGTCGTTTTGCGAAAACGGCTTGTGATTTTAATTAGCTAGGGTGGTATTATTAAATGTTTAAGTTTATTGTGYTAAGAATTACAGAAACCGGTGCGGATACGATACCGGAACGGGAGTGAGTCTCCCGTATTTTTTTTAAATGGTGTATCCGTATTCAATCTGGTATCTAGTTGTTATCATTAATTAGTTAATATTTATATCCATTTCAACTTTTATTTTTAAGAAAAACAATACTTATGCATTATGAATGTATAACATTTTTATCCACCTTATTTTTTTTAGACAACGTGCGTGATTTTTAAATAGGTACGCCATCATATGACTTGAGACTTCTTGAAAACATCGACAATACTATTGTTTGTTTAACTAATTACATAAATAATCTGCTTTAAGCAGTAAAAAAAAAAATTAATTCAAAACTTGTGTGCTTGCCTATGCAAACAAAATATAATTTAGAGTCGAATTAACAGCTTGTTATWTTAAAATAATAWATATGTATATGTTTATGTTTATCTACACTTAAGAGTTAAGGTTTATCCACGCTTATATACATAGAATAGATATTTATACGAATATACATACATTTATATGGATATATTTTTGAAAACGTGAGCTACTTATATTTTATATGCGATTTATTAGTTTTTACTTTATTCATTACTATTTATTATCGTTAGCACTAATATTGAAAGACAAGGACTCATATGAATTAATTAAAGTCTTCATTTTTAAAACTGTTCATTGATATTAATTGATTACATGTCATGAATCATGATTAAACATTAATAATTAATGAAGCCTTAAATAAATTAATCTGTTTAATTTAAATCAAACAAATTGGAAAATAGTAATATTGTAAATATTGGTATGTTTATGCTATAGCAACATTTACTACACAATAAGTGATTTTTAAGTTAAATATAATAACTTGATATTATTAAATGTGTGGTAAAACCAATCAATGTATTATTATAAATTACGATTTTACAACTTTCTGGTTATTATTATTATTAATCGAGCGTGAAATAATAAGCTTATACAAAAATATAAAATATTAGTGGACATTTGATACCTGTTTTTTTTAACAAATAAAAATCTATATTGTATTTATTTTAGTAGGTAATATCATTGTAAACAATATTGGAAAAAATCTATTTTCATTTCTCATTTATGTTTAGTTTATTTATATTTATCAACCCGTATAGTAAAATTATRTTTATACTTCAACTTATGAACACGGAACAATTGCCTAAATTCTACCTTATTCCTTCTTTTTAGCAGTAAAAATTGGGTGACTTTAGATCTTAGCATTTAAAAATTCCGGTAGGAATGAATGCAGTGATTTTTTTTCTACATTTCAATATATATAAAATACATTAACTAAAATCTTTTACTATCCATATTAATGGCTATCCCTCATTAACTTGGTTGTATATTTAATTCTAATAATTTTATTGATATTAATTATACGCAATCGATGCACACTGCTAAAATAAAGTAATGAGTAATCATATTTTTATATTTATAAATGCGTATAAATCCACACTGGTTCGTATTTGCCTCAATATTAAAATATGCTGAATACATGTTAATTATAATATTATATCTCATATAAATTAGACTTATCAGTTGTTACTATGTAATCTTTTTTGTACCATTTTTTTCTCGATGTCTTCATAATATTTTAAAGGATTCTCTATTGCAATTAGCTGTTATTTTTTTTAAGATACACCGTTTATCAGTTGAATCATGAAGAATACGTGAGGTAGCTTATTTGTTACATTGTTTGTGCATTATGACGATACAACAGTGATGTTTATAAATTATTTTTCATTTTAAGATATTTTCCTTATAATATATTGACATCCTTTAATTTGCGATTTTCTATACTAAAAAACTATTATTACAATTACGTTCAAATTCAAAAGTCCAATAATAGTACGGGTTTGTTGCCCTCTCTAGTTTGGCTTTGTATTTACTTCAAATTATTATACAAGACAAATATTTTTACCTAAATCACTCCATCAATACCGGTTATAACTAACTTTAAATTTAGTTTACTGGATATTTACCCATAGCCAAAATAAATCCTAAAAATCATTCACTAATTTGTATCTATCAAATGTCCATGTTAATTTACCGAATATTTTAAGATTCCGACTCAACTTTTTATTTCGACCCCAATGATAATTGAATTATAACTTACACTATGCCACTATTATAGGTATTAAAAAATACTAAATACATTTAAAATATGCAGTTGTTATTAAAATTATTAATTGTAAATTAAATAGGCAGATAGGTTCATTTTATTATTATTTATGTCTAAAATATTTTCAAACAAACATTTTGTGGTCATTCATTATTTAGTTATTTATATATCTATGACCAATCATATTAAGGTTTACATATTAATATTATGCCTACGGATCTACAGTGTTATATATTCAATGTACACAATTTTACATAAAATTGAATWTATCTTTTTCAAAATATACATCTTACATATATCACATGTTAATATATAAAGATATAATATTAGTGAATCAATATTTATTTATTTTTTATATTACAAATGGATTTTTACTTAACAACAATTCAATCCTATAGGTAGTTATTTTTTCCCAAGCTCTGTAACTGAGCCTCTAATCCTTCAAATATTTATTTTATTGTACAGTCATATTCAAGAATTGAGGAAACAAGTTAACAAAGTGGTTGCACAGGCTCCTCATTTCTTAATATTCAATATAAAAATAAAAATAAAAAAATAATGTATATACCTATTATAATACTTACTTATTCATTTTCATAGTAAAATATCACATGTACATTTATAAGCAGAGAATCCATATTCCCGTGAAGGAATAAAGCTAAAAACCAAATAATACTATTCATAGATAATTATTATTAACTTCAACAAAGTATATAAAAAAATATATATTGSTAATGTGTGTATATTATAATGTATATATCACAAAATAATAACATAAAACAATTTATTTTTAAACATAAAAACTAAACAAATAACATTTTTGATTTGTCGGTGCGCTCAATGTCTAAAATTTAAAATCGTTTCATGTAGTTTTGGAAAACTTCATTTATAAAAATGAATAACTTACCTACATTTATATCATAATAATATAATGATTAATGATTATACCCGCTTGGCTAATATTTAAATGTCATTAAGAGCATATTTTCACTAATGAAACCTAAAATGAAATGAATTTAGAAAATATCTGCATAAAATATCTGTTAAATTTGTAGTACCACTAATTTTATTTTTGTCTTAATTAGCATACTTTTAAATTTAAACAAACAAAAAAAAGAAATGTAAATGTAATAGTTCATATTTTTTGTCTCTGCTCTCTAATCATTAAGTATCTACTTGTTTTGTTAAATCATTATTAGTTTTATTATTTTTGATCGAATAATATTCATAATTTTGTACAAAAGTAATAAGCAAGTAATAAGTAGATATTAATGTATTCGATGTATCGATGTATTATTTATTTATGTATTTATAAATTATAATCAGTTACCATGAGTTTTTTAGTACTCACGTTTCACTATTTCAATAAAATAAATCATGACGTGAATTCAATATAAAACCATGAACCATGACCCGAAACATGACAATAATTCGCGCATCGTATATTCGCTACTTACTGCAAACCTAACTACATCATAATATAATTATTATTATATATTATTATGTTATGAATGTTAATCATATTGTTGATCATAGTTTTATATCACCAATATCATGTAATAATTATTATACTAATATTAACTTACAAGTTACAAATAATACCTATGCATCTAAAAAATATTAATTATATCTACCTATAATTTAGTCATATCCTACATATTAGTACTTATAGGTAATATGTAAATAATAATAACATAATATATTTCTTTAGCTCATTTTATAAAATGTCAATTTTATTCTGTTTTTAACGTAAAATGATGACTATTTAATTTCGGTTGTAAGTGGGAAATAAGTTATGTGACATGAAAACGTGATTACTTGATATTTTATTTGAAAACAAGGATGAAATTGAAGAGT